AAATATTTAAATTTGAGCGCTGGTTTAAAGACGGCATGTCGAGAAACTTTGTTTTATCTATTCGAATTTTATTTATTTTTTCTTTCGTACAATTTGTTCTTAATAACTGTGACGACCAGGTCATGTTCACCACTGTGAAATAGTCTGGATCCATCTTAATAGAAAAATGGGTCATTCTAGATAACACACATACCTCCCCTGTGGAGGAAATTTGAACTTTATCCTTTTTGGACGTACTGATACACTTACTATTATCAGAAACAATTTTTCGTCCCCTCCAGATAGCAGAAATCTCCCCTGTGAGGGGAGTGTTAATCTTTTCTGGAACGAATTATGACTCGATCCGTCTGTATACAAAATCAGTCTCTGGTGACTATAAAGATATATTAGCACTTTACATTGGTCACGCTGATATGTTCATGGCAGTTACAACTAAGTGGTAACTAGCTATGATAAGCAGATGATGACAATATGTTAACATGACAGGTATAAACCTGGTTGAATGTGATCGATAGGTCTGATGCTTTGAACAAAAGTGACGTTATATTTAAAAACCATTTCAATTTGCTTCCCATACATTCTTCCTAATATAATCAAAACTTCCTCTGTCTTATTATAGACGGATTAAAAGAATGAAGCCTGCCTCTCTCATCAGACATTGGTATCCCGGAGATTAGCACAAATAATTTATCTTGAACCAGAATCCTAAGGTCTTAGATGAATGTCTCTTTGTTGAAAGAAAACTGTTTCATAAAGATTGAAAATGCCTTTTTCTGAGTCAATGCATAACTGTTCTGTTGGAACGTAAGGCAAAGGTATTTACTCGCTTTATTATTATTTTATGCAATAGTCAATATTTAGCAGTATTTTTTTCAGTTTAAATGAAGAATAAACTGGGAAGTGATGACCAAAGTGCATAGTTCACCTGAAGTGTTTTCACTTGTGACGACCCATTAGCTCTATCTGATTCCAGTTTCATTAAAAGTTTAAAATTTGTAAATGGATTTGCTGTAAAAGCTCAACATTTTCTATTTCCTATTTGCTAAACATAGGTGTGAAGACTCGAAAAAGATAAAAACAAAAAACCATTGGGTAATCACTTGATTGAATTCTGCTCTTGTAAGTATATGAAAGTAACATTGATTTTTGTGTTATTTTTCTGCAATCAAAGAAAGTTGATCAGAATTGTAGTTTACATCAATTGTTACAGTTGATTTCACAAAACTTTTACCAAATTGTTCTGAACAAACTTCAAAACATTTTTTCGAAGTCCAAAACTTCTTCATTGAAGTTCACAAGCCGGTCTGTAAACAAAGCCTCTAATTGGTCTGTGAATTGCAAGAGCAAATGCTTAGTTTTGTAAACCTATGAATTTTGGAACTTCCCAACAAATTTGAAACATTTTGGCAGAGGTTAAGTGAAATTGTAAGTACTTGTCCTTGATTGGCTCAGCGTGTAAATGCAAATGATGACTTCAGAATAGGGACATATGAATATCCCATGATTCAAAAAATTTCTGGATAACATTTTTCCTGATGCAAATGCACTTCAGCCAATGTTATAAGTTTTGCATAGTATTAAAAAGTTACTTAGAGTAAGTTTGTAACATCTTGTTTTCTATTATATATCTTAAGAAATGGAGGAAGTTATCAATGGAGGAAGTTGCATTAAGTATATTATAAGGTATGGTATAATTTTAGATGGTACATTCACATGTTCATTTATTTGCCTATGATGTAATCTATATTTGCTACTCTTGATGTCACAAGATGATGAGTAACCACCAAGATCTCTGAGGCAAATGTTGAATTTTTAATTCAACAACATGTATGTGCAAGGGTGATGACCTAACTTGGTTTTTTTCTTGATAGGAGATCCTAGGGCCTTGAAAGTTCCTGCCTATTCAACATCTCAGAAGCAAGAAAATACTTCTTATGTAACACTTTGTTAAAATGACCACGTAACAAATTAATCGATAAAAATTGAAATCACCAATTGTGTGCCTCTGTAGTCTTTTTTTGCTTACTATCATATTGCTGCTATGACCTAGTTCATGTTTTGGGGTCACAAATTGCAACATGTCCAAAGCCTTGTTTTGTGGGATTTGCCCATGTTGTAGGTTCCCTGCCATTGTAATGTTACTAAATCGAATAAGCATTGACATGTAAACAATTCAGTTATGAGAATACATATTAATGACAAGACAAACTGGCAAGATAGATTCCCATAGATAGTCCAGAAGACAATACTGGTGTCTTCTGGATTGTGGTGGTGTGCCTGCGTGGGCAAATAGAGCCTGGGCCTCTTGTGGTGGTACCATATACTATTAAGGACACCATAGAGGTCATAGAGAATATATAGAAAACGTGGGTTAATGCGTACCGGAGACAATATTTTATAGTGTACATATAAAGCTATAAAATACACGTACTTGTGAAACAAGTTGGCAAAAGCAAATTGTCACGTGTTTGAAGATAGAACATTTTTATTACAGTATTCTATTTGGAAGTTTTGATATTGATAGTATAAAGATATAATATATATATAGTATACAGTAATAGAAATATTAGCAAAATATGTTAAAAGACCTGCATTTAGGGTCATAATTAAAGAACAGTTGCATATTTGGAAAAGCCCTGGAAACCCGGACACTGGGAGCCGGACGTGCGCTGGAAGCCGTACGAAAAGCCACGACAGTATGCGGTGTGCATTCGTCAGCATTCCATGCTTGCGCAATCATCGAGCAGTGACCAATCAGAGCGAGCCACGGGAATGATTTCAGCCAATCACAAACATACACGCCATTTGAGTACCATATAAACGCGAAGCACATTGTCGCGAGTGCATGAATTCGAAGACTTTACCTTTTGTGTTGGTTTTGAGAAAGAAATTCTGGTTTAGGTTTTGTATAATTTTGTTAAAATGAAGACGGTTGTTGGGATAGTAGTTCTGGCTTTTGCCGGAAACCTTTTATTTGTAAATTGTGAAGAGAAAAAGGACGATAAGGACAAAAACGCTGTAGGAACTGTTATTGGAATCGATTTGGGAACGACTTATTCATGGTAAGACTTCTTTCCTAAAAAGCTTTCTAACT